TCGTTTAAGCTTAAAAAACCGTCAAACGTTCAATAAGTACTGTTAACCGTTGTCAGTATAAGTAAAATCTATGCTTTACGGCACTAGTCTTCGTAAATTCGTGAAATACACTCAGATTAATATACCTAAGCGTTATGAAGTTGTCCGTTGGCGTGCAATTAACACGCACTCTTTTGATCATTTTGTTAAAGTTAGTTAGGTATCCATTTGTATGAAGAGATGACAAGAAATACAAATAATACGTTATCTCTGTAATTATACAGCAAACAGCCCTTCCATTAATATATCTAATGATATCTCATCAACATTAAGATAAACATATTATAACCTATCATTGTCATATTTCATATTTTGTTACGCATATAGTTGGATAAAGATAAGTATGATTACTGTACAGCATTGAAAACTCGTGTAAATAATAATTTCAGTATAAATTTAGTAGTAATTAAATTAATTTCGTACCTACTTAATAGACAAAATGTCCTCGTAACATGACCTACCTAATAATTAACGCCTGGTTAGTTAAATTAATACAACTTAGGAAGACTGTACAAACATTTTTGTTGGGTTTGGTTACCCACAAATGTAAAAATGTGAATGTAGAAGAATGACTGAACGAACGAGTTGAAAGTTCAGTTTTGTAAATCCAATTGCGCTATCACAATAGGCCGATTGTCGCCTAGTAGAGCTGTTGACCTATTTATTGGTGCACGATCGTACGTCGACAACCGAATTGCTTATGCATGCGTGTCTACGTGACTCCAACTGCAGCCTCACGGAATATCAAATGTTGGAATAATCGCTATCCAACATATTGATGTCGAACAGCTATTATTCTAATACGTGATATAGGTAGCAGTAGTAGACAAAGTTCGAATAGCATTACTTACTTTCTTTCGAACATTCAAGATAAGTCTTTACATTAATTAATCAATATGCTATGAGATTGTGCAACCGAATCAAACAAAAAAAGGCAGCACAAAACTTTCTGTGACTTTTGGCCTCTCAAGGCTTCATTTTTTACTTTTTACCTACTAATAGTAAACAGTCACAGTAGCCAACTAGAGTTTATCAGATTTCCCATCAAAATGTCTTACAAATTCAAACCAAAGTTCAGTAATTATTGAAAATTTTCTATTAGTCTATAAACGTAGTAACGATTATTTAGTGGACATGGCTAAATTAAAAACCTTGAATACATAAACTCGGTTACGACCGAATCCAAGTGCTCTATTGTTTTCTCTGCGAACACGTCATGAATTCAGAGTGCATTGTCCTGCTGCCAGTGTCCCGTCATATATGTAGATAAATTATACGTCCACTCACAGGTACAAACATAATAAACGATAATAGATCCATAAGGGTATTATTTATTCCATTTATCAACCAATTCACACAAAGTTAAGCTAAACCCTATGCCACGGTTATCATATCAATAAGAAAAAAATATTGCGAAATCCGATTATAAATCTACGTCATAGATTACCAAATTAGAATAGGTCTAAGTAACTCTTATATCGAGTGCTCGCATTATCTGTTAAAAAAGCAGTTTAAAAAAAGTGAAAAAAAGTATTGATAGCGACGCGAACGTCGCTGTCGCAGGCGTAGCTGTGGCGTCACAGCAGCGCGTCATGCGTTCGTAGTCCGTTCGCCACCGCTTGAGCCGTTGACTCAATACTGCAGTCAATGCCACTTGATAGCTCACATATCATCTTACATTACGCTTTCGATGATCATATGAAATCCCAAGTAAATATTCTTGAACCTGAACCACGATATTTGCGCAAAAGTAAGTCATTTATACACTGAGATACTTATAGTCTCGTGATTGTTGATAAATTGTCACACTTTAGTAATATCGATAAGTGTAAAATGGATTGGGATGCTCGCCATGATTGGTTTGAAACTGAAAATATAACGTTTCTAAAACGAAGGCATTACGAGCATTGATAATCCATTCTGCGCAGCGGCAACATCGATGCGCAGTAGAGCGGACAGTTTCGCAATGCTGAGACGCCAAGAGCACCCGCCTATCGCTTAAACAAGCAACCTTCCTTATAATGAAATTCTACAAAAAAAAACATTTACAATGATTGTACACACCGTTAATATATTATAAGCTTTGTGTTGACGGCATATGGAAGCTTTACTAGATATAAAACTTATTATACCTAAAGAAAGATATTTAATTTTTTCAAATATTTTTGTCCACGATCATTTGTTCTGGGTCTGGGTGTACAAATAAGTATATAAGAATGTTTATCGGGCATCGGCTGTGTGGTTACCATTGCACAGGCTCTGCCTAATTAGTGTATAAGATGGGTGAGATTATTATTATTATTTATAGCTAAAGTAAAAATATACATAGTATAATTATTGGGGGTTGTTGTCATCTACATAACTGGTATATTTAATTTTCAAATTTGGTTTTATATTTGGCTTTAACTTACATAGTCATGTAAATTTCATGGATATGCGTTAGAAATGTATTTGATTTAAAAATCATATTCCACAATACATACAATCACGAATAAATTACTTATGAACCAATACGAGTTTTTAAAACGGAAGTGTGCCATGAGTGCCGATATGACATTCTTTGTGCACCGTAATGAGTTCATAAACGTCAAACAACCAAACAATAGTAATTCCTAACGACCGTGAACCTCATTTTTTTGTTATCTAACACAATATTCAACAATTGGTCAAATTTTGTTAAATAGTGCTATATTACCATAAAGTACTGTAATATTGAATATTATTAAAATATACTTTGCACTAACTAGATAATGATGCTAAATCGTGTCAAGGTTAAGGTTGTTAAGGACTTCTACCGGCAATCCCATCATTCTCTTGTACTGAAACTTTTTTATTTATTTACATAAAGATAAATCTAGTAAGCATAAAAAATTATAAGGTACAGTATATAGGTACAGTTATCATGATACAGCGAAGTCGCCTGGTGACTTTCACTGACATTTCAAAGCCGGCCGTTTCGCCATCGAATAAAGCAATTGTGCAATAGTTGTCACTTTTTACATAACGGTGTTGACTAGTGGCTCGCCGATAGATGTCTAAAAAAAATACCAACGAACACTGTCAATGATTAAAGTATTGACAGTCGCCAATTAATCGCTACGCCTATGCAAGATTCAAAACAAAAATTGTGCAATAGCTTCGAATGGAATTGAACATTAATGCTGCTATAAAGAACTAACATTTAAATAAATGCACATGCGCGGAAACAAAAAAGTATGTCAGGCTGTAATTTCAAGAAATGTACAAAGTCATTAATGCAGCTTTCATTGTTCCGGTGCGAGTGAGGGGCACGTCAATCTACGTCTCAAAGCACATAGCACGTCCACACTCGCACGAAATCACGTAAAAGTGAAAGTATGATGTGATCACCGACTCGACGCTCGCGGCTAACTGTACTGATCATATAGGTAATTACGGCGAAACGACTTCTTTATATTGTTGTCATTATAATTCATTAAACTTCAACATTCCACCATTTAGGAGAATAGGTCATTATGCACATTAGCAAACGGGGCTAAATGCTGGCCATTAGTATTCGTAACAAATATAGATCTATGAACTAATATTGATAGGTGGACAAGCAGCTTACGTCATTCAATTCAGCTTGTAATTTGTTGTGTATGTTAGAATCACTTTGGTTAACGAATTCAGTTGTGTTACTAATGGATGAAAACAGCTTAAATGAATACTGAATGGTAACATCGACTGTCATCCAAAGAGGACGTAATAATAAATGCGTGTGCAGTAATCTCTAAGTGTATACATAATGTGTCAATCAAGAAAGAGTCGTAGAAGGAAGCCCGCGTCGAAAACGTAATCAATGTCAACCAGTCATCTTGGTCGTGGCCCATAATTGGCTGAGAGTGCGGCTGCGATATGAGCAACTTTACCAGTGCGTGATAAGGGTATGTGCGTCATAGTATGTAGTCCCACATCAAATTTTTATGTTACAAGTACACCTTACCTTATGGCTTACAAATAACGTCCTAATCTTGCAACTGACTTCTGTGATATGTATATATAAGCAATTTAAATTGTTTGAGGAAACTTGGGAAGTGAACGGGGATTTCCCTACTGCCTCTTGATTGTTATTAAAGCTTTTTCGTGGAATGTCCACTAAAAATATTGTATTCCAGTTAAATCATTAAAGTTTTTGTTCAGATGTTACACAAACAATTGTTGGAAGTATTGCGTCCCATTTGCTCCCTTTTTCATTATTATTCTAAAACTATCGTAATCACATTGAATATGCCGATAGTATAAAGAAATTTTGCAGGTATTATGTATATAATAGAACTTAGAAACACGCTCTACGACGCTATATTACCACACTCTGTATAAGAACCTGTTTACCTCTCGCAAGCAAGTATTATAGTAGTATATTTCCTGCTCTGCGGCACAATTATTGTGTATGTATTAGGAATTTCCATGAAGTACTGTGATTTACTTTATGTGTTAAACTAAGAAAATCAAGGAAAATCACTAATACGTAACTAATACTTACGTCACAGATATGAATTTAATCAATACGTATTAGTGAATACCCGTAATATTATCAAAGAATAACGTCGCGACGTTATTCTTTGATATTATTACGGGTAATCACTAATACGTCGGTTGGTCCGTGACACGGTATGCATCTCGCTCCATTTCCACCAGGTCATGACGTCATTTACCCCGATCGAAGGTCGGCCTATCGATCTGCTGTTCGTAAACATTTTTAATTGCTGCAACATATTTTTTATTGACATACACAATACAAATTGCGTTTTCACCGATTAATATATTGATACCAAGATCTCAGTAAATAGTAGTAAAATATGTATTCAAATTCTACCTTTTTTTCAACTACTAATAACGTACTCCGTATAAACAAGACAGGTGAAGAGAGTTTTGTTAAGTACATACCTACCTAATACACATTTGACTACATAATCACAAGACTTTACATTTTGTTGTAGGCGCCAGTTGAACTGAAGAAAAAACTAGATGAAATTCGACTGCTGGAGTCTCGCAAGTCAGCAAGGTTAGCTGATGTGGATACCGATTTCGCCAGACTGGCAGACATGGCAGGAGACCGTCGACGAGCCTCCGCCACCATCGAAGTGCCCTCACATCACATGCAGGGGTAAGTCAATGTAATTATACCTTTTCCTTTCCATCCTTTTCCATCTTCATCTCCGGTCTTTCAACACTTACGTAGTTACTTTTGAGTAGCAAAATAGTTTATAATTGGCTAAAGGTACGATTAAAAGGGGAATTAAAGTCATTAGGTATAAATAATCAAACGAGGATTAATAAATTCTAAATTAAATCGATGAATGCAAACCTGGAGAACAGGGAGTTTAATTAACAAACATCAATGTTATTTCGCCTTGAGTTACCGGCTCACCTCGCCACGAGCTCAGGGGAAGGCCGCTCCTACCGTATGGTTAGGGGCAAGATGCGCCCATGGGCCCCGCCGCTCACACGGTGTCTTCAGCCAGAGCTGCTTGAGAGGGTCGTTGGCTCCCTGTTCCCAACGCGAGTGGTGGAGCATACTCCGCCACAGATGGCTCCGCCTCCGGCGCTTGAGGCGCCTAACGTGGATGACGACGACGTGCCTGAGGTCACTGGGGTGGAACTAAGGGTGGCGGTGTTACGGCTTAAAGCCAAAAACACCGCCCCGGGACCCGATGGCATTCCTGGCCGAGCGTGGGTCCTGGCCTTAGTCGACGAGGCTCTCGAGCCCCGACTGCGAGGGTTCTTCAGCGCATGCCTCGAGCGGGGCCAGTTTCCGAAATTGTGGAGGACGGGGAAACTGGTCCTCATCCGAAAGGAGGGGCGCCCGGCGGACTCACCGTCCGCCTACCGGCCCATAGTGTTGCTTGACGAGGTGTGCAAGCTCTTTGAAAGAGTGATTGCAAGGCGCCTCGTCAAGCATCTCGTGATGGTTGGGCCGGATCTGGCGGACAACCAGTACGGTTTCCGTCAGGGGCGCTCCACCGTGGATGCGATCATGCGCGTGAAGGCTCTGGCGGAGGAAGCAGTCTCCCGGGGCGAAGTGGTGTTGGCGGTGTCCTTGGACATCGCCAACGCGTTCAACACTATGCCCTGGAGCTGCATCAGGGAGGCGCTCGTGTATCACGAAGTGCCTCTCTACCTCCGCCGCATAGTCGGGGCATATTTGTCGGAGAGAGCCGTCGTCTACCCCAGTAGGACCGGTCTCGGTAGGCGTGAAATGTCGTGCGGTGTTCCGCAGGGGTCGGTGTTAGGGCCACTCTTGTGGAACATCGGCTACGACTGGGTGCTTCGTGGTGCCTTCTTGGATGGTGTCGCCGTCGTGTGCTACGCGGACGACACACTCGTGACGGCGCGCGGCAAGACGCACCACGAGGCAACCCTGAGGGCCACGGCCGGGGTTGCCCAAGTCGTTGAGCGTATCCGGCGGCTGGGTCTCGAGGTGGCTCTGCACAAGTCCGAGGCCCTGTTCTTCCACGGGCTTCGGAGGAAGCCGCCTGAGGGATCTAGCCTCACGGTAGGAGGCACTCGCATCGGCATCGAGCCCTCGATCAGGTATCTGGGGCTCGTACTCGATGGCCGATGGGACTTCGGATATCATTTCCGAGGTCTGGTCCCCAAGTTGGTTGGGGCAGCGCGTGCGTTGGCGCGGCTGCTGCCCAACATGAAGGGACCCGATGACTCCTGCCGGAGACTCTACTCGGGGGTTGTGCGGTCCATGGCCCTTTACGGGTGCCCAGTATGGGCGGGGGCCCTGAAGGCCAGCAACGTCGCGATACTGCGGCGACCGCAGCGAATGCTGGCCATCAGGATCATAAGGGGGTACCGCACGATCTCCTTCGAGGCGGCGAGTCTCCTGGCCGGAACTCCACCGTGGGACCTGGAGGCGAGAGCCCTTGCAGCACTGTATCAGTGGCGCAAGGAGGCGCAGGAGTTGGGTCGATACCCCGAGATTCGAGAAATCGATGACCGGAAATCCCAACTCCGCCAGGTCATCATAGGGGAGTGGAGGGAACGACTCGGGCAACCGAGCGCCGGGCACGCCGTCATTGCGGCGGTAAGACCCGTTATGGAGGATTGGCTCGAGAGGCGTCACGGGACCCTCTCATACCGATTGACGCAGGTGATCACTGGGAAGGGATGTTTCGGAGATCACCTGTGTCTGATCCGCAAGGAGCCAACGCCTGAGTGCCACCACTGCGATGGCCAGACCGTGGACACGGCTCTCCACACGCTGGCAGAGTGCCCGGCGTGGGTTGAGCAGAGGCGAGACCTCGTGGCGGCCATCGGAGTGGGAGTTCTCTCGCTCGATAGCCTGATTGCGGCTATCGTGCGGAGCGAGAGTGCGTGGAACTCTGCCGTCTCCTTCTGCGAGCAAGTTATGCTCGCGAAGGAGACGGCGGAGCGGGACCGGGAGAGGTTTAGAACTCTCCCGGCCCGCCAGGCCCGGGCACGGGCCAGGCAGCGCAGGCGACTCGGGCGCCGGAGGTCGCAGAACGACCTCCGTCCTCCATAAGCGCAGGCCTGGGGGTGACAGGTGAGGCCATCTGTCACCCTAGCAGAAGCAGGCCGGGGTGGCGGCGAGCGCGTTGCGAAGCGCGCTCGCTTCCAGGGAGCACAGGGAACATGGGGTTCCCACACGGGGCGGGGGTCGTCTACTCGTTTGTAGATGACCCGAGGTATGTCGGGGCACCAGGGCCTTCCTTTCTAGGGTATACCTGGTTCCCCGGCTATTAGTACCCGGCGAAGGCGTGCGGTTTTAGTCGGTTCGAGTCCGACATGCCACCGAGAGGTGGTATCCGAGGGGATTTCCGCACGGAAAAAAAAAAAAAAAAAAAAAAAAAAAAAAAAAGGGGAAGGCCGCTGCATTTCTAATGCCCGCTCGCTGCCTTGCAAAATTGCTTTATCTGGATCTTACGAATCGATTTGACCTTATATCGCGAAATAGGTCATCAGTAATGGTGAAAGGCAGTTAGACTTGGCTTTCTACAATTCTGCTCGAATTCCCTTTGTTAATTTTCCTAACCTATAAATAAGTTAAAATAAATCAGAATGTGTGAACAACGGAACCGTGCGATTAGGTACCAGCACTACCAGCATGCATTGTTACCTTGTAGGCAGGTAGGTGTAATCGCTCACGAGGTGTAGTGCATCGGCGAAGTGGGGCCAGGCGCGGGCGACCGTTGCGAAACGCGCACCGAGCACGTTAGAAACTGGATGGAAGTGTTAGTGCGGAGTACGGGCGTGTCCTTGTCACACTTGCCTACATTCTGCGGCCGGAGTACGCCGCCCGCGCCTCGAACCCCTCGCCGCGCCTCTAACCGGGACACAATGCAACACTATGAGAATGATTAAAAAAATCTGACGGATTACATAATCACCAATAGCGATTAGGGAGCTAGCGAATGGGGCCTTATTTTAATGTACCGTGCTATCACTGAAAAATAATAAATCAACTTTTAAACAACTCTTACTTTCAACGACCATTCAAAAAACATAATAGTTTCTTTATTAGTATTGAATTGAGAGTAGGTCACAGTGTTATCCGAGTCTCTTGATCGTCTCTCTGTAACCAAGCTAGTACTTTCTTGTAAAGCAGAACATTGTTGTATATTGCAGTAGAACCGGAAAAAACGGCATAAATGAGAGGCGCGACGTGACGCTCGTCGACGCTGCAGTTTCACTTTTCATCGTGATCGTGGTGAGAGGCGAGGCCTCCATCGTGGCCCAAATTTCACAATACCCAACTAAACAGGCGCTTAAAACAGTGATTCGCTTACGGATCTACTATTCAAGTGTGTACTTAGATTTTGACCGTTTGGCACTTCATTTCAAGTTGTTATTTAAACATGCGTAACACACGCGGCAAGATGATGTGAATAAAGTATGCAACTTGACTTTGAGTCGATTAAAAATGAAGTATTAGATGTGGTGTAGCTGTTGACGGTACATATAATAGAGGCCGAATAGTAAAAGATGTCCATGATAGAACCAAAAACCAGCAGATGACTTAGAATAATAACGCAGGCATGCTTGGTAATGTAGTACAACTATGGCAGATGATATTTAAATGTAAAGGAGCAATTTCATAAGACCTGTAAGAAGTTACAAGATAGTTTTTAAAAGATTGCAGGTATAGAACCTGCTGACATTTTTAGGAATATGTTATAAGCTTAAGCTTATAGTTAGACTTCACAATTACAGACCGCATATAAAACGATTATATTTATTAAAGGCTCCCTGTCTCTCTTTTTCTTTCTAAAATGATGATAACTAAAATAGACAAAAGAATACGGAAACAAAAATTCGCAATAGAATTTCGGGCCCCTGTGAAGTGAAAGTTTTGAAAACATTCATTTTCTTTTAGTTAGCTACAAATAAGTAACGCCACCTTCTGTTAACTCGGAAGGAATTAACACAGCATTACTTACATTAGGTGTTAGAATATTATTCTATTCGTTGCACAGAAATTGTAACGATTTCGCTTAGTTCATGAATCAACTAAATTCAAAGATGGCGTCGCATTCGGCTGGTACTTGGCGCGGCCGCCGTGTGACACAGTGACCCAGTTTCGAAATGGAACGCCACACACACTAGAGTAAAATAGTACCTACACAGCGATATCCGCGAATGTTACACTGAGTCTAAAACCTAATTGGAATTCCTAATCAATTAAGCTATATTACAAGGATATGAACAAACAGAGAGTGCTCAATGAACTCCAGAGGCCCGAGTGTGAGTTTATTTTACTTCTACTCGAAAGTCACGGTGATGTGAATCACCATCAATCGCAACACCGAACGCGCTCGACGTCGAGACGTTCTGTAGGTAAAGAAAAAAAAACATCTTCTGTAAAGCAGTGAGACAGCAGAACGTGTGACGTTATAAATATCACACAAGATTTCTTCTGTTCGTCTCATTGCTTGGTTATGATCATCAATGCCAATTGCTAACCCAATGTCACTACCTATTACATAATCATTACAAAAATATTAACAAAATTGGGGTGGTGTGGAAATCTGGTAAGGTAGGTGCAGTGAGGTTAGAGTTGTAATAGTAGCATATATATGGTTTCATATACATACATAAATATAGATAAATACACGTAAATACATATACTTTACATTT